CAGGCTGGTGCATGAGCATTCGTTAACAGCACTAAGCGTTCGCTCGTGAGCCTCCACGCGCCAGTCAACTTTCCGAGCCTATCAAACAACGAATGTTGAGCCTGGGCGTTCTGACTTACGCGTGAGGGCTATGCTGTGTTTTTATTTAAACAAACGGGCAAGCGAGTATCGTTTCGCTCGTAAATTTTGGCCAGGGTGCCCGTGCATAAGTGCAAAATGTTGTTTAAGGAAGCACAGGCCGACTAAATAAAGCGAGAGCAACAAGATTAGAGGGTACTAAGCCGCCAATCTTTCAGAACTAACTTTGCTGCCTTCCGCTGGAAAGCAGAACTAGTCTGATCCGAGACACTGACACCCACTCTACCATAACATGCTGTCGTCCATCGTTGATGAACGCTCACCGACCACTAACGGAACTCACCCATATCGTTCTGCCTTGAGGTTCAGTCTGTAGTCCTACCAGCAGTCGCACTGCAGCTAGCAGCATAAGCAAATGAAAGTTGCCGGCAAAGACAAGGGAAACCGGAATGGGCGTTTCCGGCTAAGCACACATCATCAGCCAGCCATACGCAACCAGTCATATTTGAACACGCTACGTGTTGAGCAGTAGTACAACTCTGACCACCGGATCACTGCCTACACCATTAGCCGCTGTGCGGCTGCTGGCGAGGCTCGAGAATGAGCTACAAGGCAGAACGGAGCGTGTGAGGTCGCTAATCAATCAGCTAGCATTCACCAACGAATGCCAATATTCCCGATTTAAACGACATGACAACGACTCCCTAGCGCAGTGGTTAAGAGCGTTAGACTTCTAGCAAACGGGTTGTGGGTGTTGCATTACCCGGGATTTCATATGACTGGCTGATAAGGGGGAATGAGTCAAAAATGACCATTCCTTTCTCTCTTATCCCCGCGGAGCATGTTCAAGTTGTTGCTTGTCAACTCGAAATCTCTTTCGAACCTGCAGCGGTAATAATTGGAGGGAGGACAAATTAAATTTATGCAAAAATAGCTGTATAGTGCCCAAGAGATTTGTACAATTATAGGTAGACCTGTAGAGGGATGGGAAAACTTGAGCCTTCTTGTTTTTCAGATGAGTATAGTTGGTAGGAGTGAAAGACTGTAGAGACAGAGAGAGAGACCAAAGGACTGGGGTGTAGAGGCTAGGCATCGATTTCAAATGTTGAATTACGGTTGACAAAGTCATCATGCATAAGTTCCCCCATAGGACGATCCCGCATCTCGCTATAGGTCTTGTCAATCACAGACACCGTGGGTGTCTGTGACGTGGGACTGTAGTAGACGGCTCTGGAACGCTGGGCGGCGGGCCGTCGGTGAACATCAAGCAGCTTGCCGGCCGCTATGGCCG